TTTGTTCTTCAACACTTTAAAAAGGTCTTGTGCAGCAGATTTGCCTAACGCAATACGTCGTTTGATCTCTTCACTGCTGCTTTCGTGAGTGTTGATAGTTGATCTAAGAATACACACACACACACACACACACACACATATGAATATGTGTGTATATGTACACTTTATCTCCAAGCCAGATTATAAATTCCAGGAGCACAAACACCATATCTTTTCTTTTTTTTCACTGTTTTCTTTTTTTAAATATTACCTAACACATTGGTTTTGATAGATGAGGTGCTCAATAAATATGTATTGATGACAATGTATAAAGTTTTATTTCATTTATTTTAATTAGATAATCCATGATAAGTACACAAAATAGTATTTGTCACACAGAAATTGCTAGCAAATGTTAGCTATTTATATTAGCGTTTGTATTAAAATGTATTAATGACTAGCACGGTATCTGGAATATAACGCTGCTGCTGTTACTGTGTGCCGTGGAGTCAGTTCCAACTCCCAGAGATCCTATATAGAATTTCTGAAGTTATAAATCTTTATGGAAGTAGGAAGCCTCATTTTTCTCCCATGGAGCAGTTGGTGGATTTGAACTGCTGACCTTGCAGTTTGGAGCCAACTCAGAATCCACTACAGTTAAGACTTGCTCTCCCAGCAGAGTAGGTAATCATGATTCTGCTCCAGGAGTTGTAAAGCATCCTGGGATTGAGTGTGCACATGAGGCCAGACCTGAGACTAGTGGAGCCCAGGAAGGAATGTTCTAGAACTAGCATCCCGATCATCTACAGCCATGTTCATTCTGCTGTGCGCTATGCTCAGTTATGTTGCTCAGTAGGCTGGGACTAAGAGATAACCTTAGAAGCCTCCCTGTTGTTGTATGCCGTTGAGTCGGTTTTGATTCATATAGCAACCCCGTAGAGGGTTTCTGAGACTGTAAATCTTTATGGGAGCAGAAAGCCTCGTCTTTTTTCTCTTGGAGTGGCTGATGGATTTGAACTGCTGATCTGGCAGTTAGCATCTCAATGCATAACCCACTGTGCTCTTAGGGCTCCTATGGCACATAATGTTGTTGTTGCTGTTGAATGCCATCGAGTCAGTTCTGACTCATAGCAACCCTATATAGGGTTTCCAAGGAGTTGCTGGTGGGCTTGAACCACTGACCTTATGGTTAGCAGTCCAGTGCTCATACTATATAGCGCCATACCAGGACACAGGTATAACAGGTACCCAAAAAGTTCACAGTAACAACAGCGATGGGCTTAAATGCAACAATTGTGAGTATGGCCCATGATGGAGCAGCATTTTGTTCTGTTATGTGTAGGATTGCTATGAGTTGGAACTGACTCAACAGCCCACAACAACAACAGGGAGTATTTGAAGGCTGCCTCTTGGTCCCAGCTTACTTAGTAGCATAACTGAGTAGAACAAAAAGAAATTCTGTCGAATAAACTGATTTTGAAACATTTGAAATGTGAAGTTATTTGTTGGATAACTTTATAACAACACATTTCCTTTCTGACCACTCATATAATACTCTTAATATATGTATTGATTAAAAAGACAATGTCCCCTTTTATAATAATAGACTACTTTGACTTGGTTCAGTGTAAACTATTGTCTTTTCATTGGCAAGAAAACCACCATTTATTATGAATTTGAGTTCTCATTTTAATATTGCTGTTGTTAAGTGCCGCCAAGTCAGTTTTGACTCATAGCAACTCTATGCGGCAGGGTTTCTGAGGTGCAGCTGGTGAGTGTGAACTGCCCACCTTGAGGTTCACAGTTCAGTGTTGATCCTACAGCGCCACACTAGGAGTCCTCTCATTTTAGCGTTGCTATCGTTAAGTACCATCAAGTCGGTTCCGACTCATAGCGACCCTGTATAGGGTCTCCAAGGAGTGACTGGTGAGCTTGAGCCACCACCCTTGTGGTTCAAACCGACTTTGCAGTCCGGGACATTAACCCGCAGTGCTACACCAAGACTCCTCATTTTAATAGTACAATGAAATTATTTTAGCAAATGTCAGTTTGCTAATATCACTTTGTTGTTGCTGTTGTTAAGTGCCATCAAGTTGGTTCCGATCCATAATGAGCCTGTATAGGGTTTCCAAGGAGTGGCTGGTGAGCTTGAACCACCGACTTTGCAGTTCAAACCAATCTTGCAGTACAGCACATTAACACACAGCAGTGTACCAGGACTATCACTTAGTTGGCTTTAAGCAAACCTCTCTGACAATTATCCCTCATCCCAACCCTCTGGGGCCCAGAACTTACTTGATAGCTTTGTAGTTGGGGCTTTTACAGTAGACCAGCAATCCAGCTCCAGAACCCAATAACAGACCCCCCATCTTCAGGCATTTGACAGCTGATACTCCCTGGGGGAAGAAACATCCTTTGATAAAAAGGTCAAGCAGTTTCATCATTAAGACTCAATGCAAAAACATAACCATGAATGTGGCGGAGCATACAGATGGCAAAATGAGGAAAACTTCTTAGACATTATTAACATCTTAAGATAATGAGTTCCTGGCCCTGGGGACTTCTAGGCCCTAGTCTCAGGGGACACCATACACAATTGGCATAACATAGTCCATAAAGACAGTGTTCTACACCCTACTTTGGTGAGCAGTGTCTGAGATCTTAAAAGTTCATGAACTGTCATTTAAAGTGTGAGGCTTGGTCTCTCCATGTTGATGAAAATTGAAGATGTTGTTGTTAAGTGCCGTTGAGTCGGATCCGACCCATAGCGACCCTGAACAGGGTTTCCAAGGCTGTAAATCTTTACGGGAGCAGAAAGCCTCATCTTTCTTCCGTGGATCAGCTGGTAGTTTCGAACTGCTGACCTTGCGGTTCGCAGCCCAATTCGTAACCACTACGCTACCAGAGCTCCTTGAAAATTGAAGATGCTTGGAATCGATTAGCCCAACAGACCAATGGAACACGTGAACATCAATCTCCACGACTCTGAGATCAGAAAAACTAAGTGGTGCCCAGATACCACTACCAACTGCTCTGAAAGGGATCACATTAGAAGGTCCCAGATAGAAAGGAAGAAAATGTGGAACAAAACTTAAAATTACCAAAAAAAAAGACTTGCTGATCAGAAAGAAACTGGAGGAACCTGAGACTATGGTCCTCGACCTCCCTTCAGATATGGAAAGGAACTTACCCTCGTGACCTAATTTTCAGCCAAGCAATAGGTATATAAGGAGGATATCAACACTATTAAGATATAACTCATTCAAAATCAAAAGCGCAACATTTCCCTTAAGACAGAGTTGAGAAGGGATGGAATGAGAGTAGAAGGGAAATAGGAAGCAGGATAACTGTTGTTGCATGGAGGAGATTGCAGTCATTGAGATGAAATAAAGCATAAGATTTGTTGAGTATAAAACTGATGATCTTTTCTATAAGCCTTCACTCAATTCATCATAAAAAGTTAAAAAAAAAAAAAAAGTCAGTGCAAGTATTATTGCTAAACATTTTCATCAAAGATTGCATGGAAGGAACCTGCTCAAAAGAGGGAAGATGCAGAAGAGTATTTCAAATTCTCATGGACTTCAGACTTCCTGGAACCATGAAGGTTGGAAGAACCCCTGGAGCTACTGCCCTGGGATAATCTTTAAACCTTAAATCAAATCCCCTCCTGTTGTGTTGTGTTGTGGAGTCGGTTCCGATTCATAGCGACCCTGTACAGTGTTTCCGAGGCTGTAAATCTTTACGGGAGCGGAAAGCCTCATCTTTCTCCCACAGAACAGCTGGTAGTTTCGAACTGCTGACCGTGAGGTTAGCAGCCCGATTTGTAACCACTACGCTACCAGAGCTCCTTATTAAAGCCATAGTTTAGCTTAACTGGTAAAATAAAGGTCTGCCTTGAGCACTGTGCTCCTTTAAGAACTCTGTGTATGGGCCCATTTTGACCACAGCAACTGGAAAGATTAAACAGGAACCTACTTAGGAGGCCCTGAGTTTATGTCAATAGGGGAGGAACAACTTTGAAAAACATGTGAGAATGGTTGTACAATTCAAAGCATCTCATCAATGTCACTAAAATGTACATATAGAAACAGTGGGGTTGGCATCTATTTCGCTGTATATATTCTCAACAGCAAAGTAAATTAAATTATACCAAAAAAAAGAGCCAATGCAAGACCTATTCCAGGTTACATCAGTGCTGCTTGGATGGTGTCCATGAAGTTCCCTGGTGCCCATGGTGTACCCTCGAGCTGGACAAAATGGCTCAGTGCCAACATGAGCTACTATGCCCAGAAGTTGCTCTCATGTTTTGCAAAAAATAAACATGCTTCACCACTTTCCTTCCTAAAATCAGTACTGTCCACTGTCAAGTCGACTCACAGTGACCCTTAGTGTGTCAGAGTAGCGCTGTGCTTCAGAGGGTGTTTAATGGCTGAGTTTTCAAAAACAGATCACCAGGCCTTTCTTCTGAGGTGTTTCTGGATAGACTTGAACCTTTAACCTGCCAGTTAGAGGCTGAGTGTATTAACTGTTTGTACCACACAATGACCCCCTTAAAACCACCTGTATATTTTGAATGTGTTAAAAATCGACACCTTTGTATTTGTTGTTGTTAGATGCCACAGAGTCAATTCTGATGCATGGCAACTCCGTGTGTGCAGAATAGAATTTCTAAACAGGTTTTTTTTTAAGTCATGGCTTTTTCAGAAGATGTTCACCAAGCTTGTCTCCCAAGATGTCTCTGGGAAAACCACCAACCTTTTGACTAGTAGTTGAATGCTTAATCTTTTACAATGACCAAGTGGAATTCAATATTAGAAAAACAGTCAACATAATCCACCACATCAATAGAACAAAGGAAAAGAACCACATGATTGTATCAATTGATGCAGAAAAGGCATTTCACAAAATCCAACATCCATTCCTGATAAAATTTAAATTAAAAAAAATTTTTTTAATTAAGAAAAAAAAAAGGAAAGAAGAGAAATTCCTCAACATAATTGAGAACATATATACAAGTCCAACAACCAATATTACTCTCAGTGGAGAGAAACTGAAACATCCCCTTTGCTAACAGGGACCAGACAAGGATGCCCTTTATCACAACTCCTATTCAGTATTGTATTGGAAGTCTTGGTCAGAGCTATAAGGAAAGAAAGAGAAATTAAAAGCATCCAAAATGTCGAAGTAAAACCCTCTTTATTTGCAGATGATATGATCCTATACATAGAAAATCCCAAAGACTCAGCAAGAAAATTATTGGAACTCATTGAAAGATTCAGCAAGTGGCAGGGTATAAGATCAGTACATAAAAATCTACTGCATTCCTCTACACTAACAAAGACAGCTCTGAAAAGGAAATCATGAAAACAATATCATTCACGATACTCATCCAAAAGATGAAATAATTAGGAATAAATCTAACCAGAGAAACAAAAGTTCTATACAAAGAAAACTACAAAACACTATTACAAGAAATCAAAAGAGAATTTTTTTAAAAAAAGTAAGAATATACCATAATCATGGATAGGAAGACTTAACATTGTGAAAATGTCAACACTACCCAAAGCAATCTCAGTCTAATGCAATCCCAATCCAAATTCCGATGACATTCTTTAAAGAGATGGAAGAACTGATCACCTTATATGGAAAGGAAAGAGACCTCAGATAAGCAAAACATTGCTTAACAAGAACAAATTTGGGGGCTTCTCACTCCCTGATCTCAAAATCTACTATATAGCCACAGTGGTCCAAATAGCCTGGTAGTGGTACAATGAAACATACATAAATAACAGATTTGAGACTCCAGAAATAAATCCATCCACATATAGTCAGCTGATCTTTGACAAAAGGCCAAAGCACATTAAATGGGGAAGTGATAGTCGCTTCAACAAATGGTGCTGGCAAAACTGGAAATTAATTTGCAGAGGGATGCAACAAGACCTATATCTCACACCACATACAAAAATGAACTCAACATGAATTAACTACCTAAATGCAAAACCTAGAACTACAAAGATCATCAATGATAAAATAGGGACAAACTTAGGGGATCTAATACCTGGCATAAATGCACTGTCAAACATAACTAAAAACATACTAAAAGTAAAATCCAAAATAGATGACTGGCACCTCTGAAAAATTAGACATTTATGTGTATCAAAAGACTAAAAAGAGAGTGGGAAAAATAGTTTTGCAATGACATATAAGACAAGGGAATAATCTCTAAACTGTGTAGAAAACTGCAGTACCTCTATAATAAAAGACAGATAACTCAACTGAAAAATGGGCAGAGGACATGAACAGACGCTTCACCAAGGAAGACATTCAGGCAACTAACAAACATGAACAAACGTTCACAATTGTTAAGACATTAGAGAAATGTAAATCAAAACAACAATGAGATATCATCTCACCCCAGTATTAACTGTAAAGTTAAAAAACAAAAAACAAATGCTGGCAAGGGTGTGGAGAGACAGGGGCCCTCCTAAATTGCTGGTGGGACTGTAAAATGGTGCAACTACTGTTGAAAATGGTATGGTGCTTCCTCAGAAAGTTGGAAATAGCAATACTGTATATGACCCAGGAATCCCTCTACTTGGTATATATCTACAAGAAATGAGTCAGGACATGAGTAGGTATATGCACACTGATATTCATCACTGCACTATTTACAATGGCAAAAAGATGGAGGCAGCCTAAGTGCCCATCAATTGAAGAATGGATAAACAAATGTTGGCACATACACACAATGGAATACTATGGTGAAGAATAACAATGAATCTGTGAAACATCTCCTAATATGGATGACCATGGAGGACATTACGCTGAGTGAAATTAGTCAATCACAAACGGACAATATTGAATGAGACCACTATTATAAAAGTAAAGCAAAAGTTTTCATGCTAAAAGAAACAGTCTTTAATGGATACCAGGGGTGGGAGGGAAGGGAGAATAATTTACTGGCTAGAGGGTGGACACATGTAAACTTGGTGACGCGGTGGGCAATATACAAGAAGAGGGACGTTGCCAGAAAAATGAGGTGAAGACAGAGGAAGGTATGCAAAGGCTAAAGGGAATAGAGGTAAATAGTGTTATATACACAACCTTGGAACAACAGTGTTCTGTGGGTAGATACATGGATAGATACACTGGCTGAATGGGTATGGGAGGAAGAGTTGGGGTATACCAACAAATATATACGGGTCTGAAAGATGATGTTTAGATATGGATATTTACCTTTGCAGGATTCCTGGTGTGGTGCTGCAGGATAATGCACTGGACCCCAAGGTCAGTTTGAACCACAAGGTCAGCAGTTTAAACTCACCAGCTGCTCCTTGGAAACCCTATATGGGGTTGCTATGGGTTGGAACAGACTCGACGGCACTTAACAACAATAACATTCACCTTTGCTGCAAATACAACTATGAATCTATTGGAGCATAAAGTGGGCAAAATGATGAAAACTTTTTAGATATTGTCATACTTATGGCAACAATTTGCTGGGTCTGGAGACTCAGGACCATAGTCTCAGAGGACACCATGGTCGAATGGCATAACATAATCCACAAAGACAATGTTTTACACCCGACTTTGGTGAGTAGCGTCTGGGATCTTAAAAACTCAGGAGCAGCCATCTAAGGTCTATTGGTCTCTCCATGTGTGGGAGAAGGGTGATGAGAATTGAAGATGATTGGACTCAATTAGTCCAACGGACTAATGGAACAGGACTCCGAGACCAGGAGAATTAGATGGTGCCCACCTATTACTACCAACTGCTCTGAAAGGGATTGTGTTAGAAGGTTCCAGATAGAGTGGGAGAAAAGGTGGAACAAAATTCAAAATTGTTAAAAAAAAAAGACTGGACTTACTGGTCAGAAAAGATTGGAGGAACCCAATACTATGGTCCTCAACCACCCTTCAAGTCTGGAAAGGAACTCACCCTCATGGCCCAATGGTCATCCAAGTAGTAGACAAGTATATAGTGGGGACAGCAACACTAATAAGGTGTGCTCACTATGTAATGGTCAAGCGTTCAAAAGGGCAACATGTATTTAATGACAAAGTTGAGAAGGGATGGGATGGTGGGTGGATTGAAACTAGGAACAACAGGGAGGAAGCGGAATAACTGTTGTTTCATCCAGAGGATTGGAATCATTGAGATGAAACAAAGTGTATGGTTTGTTGAAGGTAAAAAACTGATGATCTTGTGTAAACCTTCACTCAATTTGCAATAAAAAGTCAAACAAACAAACAAACAAACACCTATATGGATCACAATAATCCAGTCCCATTATGCATAGAGTCACCAGTACGTAACAACAGCAGACTATTACAATTCTTTATCTTTCTAATCATAGAAGTAAGAGGTTCAAAATGGGTAACTGTCCAAGATCACTTGGCATTCAAACCAAAAGTCTTTGGGGTTACGCTTTTCATCCCACAAGAATTACTTTCTTTCTACCCATATAGAAGGTTTCTTGGAATCACTGCTTTGTGGAAGTTGTCCTGATCTGAATGAATTAAAGCATCCCTAACAGACATAAATGCCAAAGGTTTGAATATACTAAAACAGCCAGCTACCTTTTCAGGACAGGCATTTGGTCCCGTGCACTAGGAAATCAGAAATATCCAGCCCAGTAGTTTTCTTTTTCTTTTTTTAAAATGTTTTATTGTGAATTGAATTAAGGTTAACAGACAAGATCATCAGTTTTACATTCAACCAATTACCAGACCAGTTGTTGTTGTTGTGAAGTGCTGTTGAGTCGGTTCCAACCCATAGCGATCCTGTATAGGGTTTCTGAGGAGCATCTGGTTAGCTTGAACCACCGACCTTGCAGTTCAAACAGCTTTGCAGTCTGACACATTAGCCCACAGCGCCACACCAGGACTCCTACTGGACCAGTAGTTTTCAACTATTACTTTATGGAGCCCTTTGCAGGTGTCTTGTGGGTCCCTGGATGGCACATTTAATCCCTCAACTGCTAACCAAAAGGTTGAAGGTTTGAGTCTACCAAGAAGTGCTCCAGAAGAAAGACTTGACAATGAAAAACATAAGCTCTGAAGCCCAGTTCTACTCTGACTCACATGTGGCCTCCATGAGTTAAAATAAACTCAAGGACTAGTTAGGTTTTGGTTTTGTTGGAGGCGTCTCAGGAGGTGGTACTGGCAGGGTTCTGTCTGAGTCTGACCTTCCTGTAATCTGATTTTCTTTGATTTTTTCTATTAATACGAGTTGGAATCTCTTTCCTAGAAACAATTAGAAAAACCTTGACCTCTTGTGGGGTCTCTACCTATATACTATAGCTCTCTTGCATTCCTATAAAGCCAACTGCTGTTAAGTCGAGTCAAAACTTAGTACAATCTTTCAAAGTTTAGCAGAAACAGCCCTTGGAACTTTTGGGGATGTTGGAACTAACAACCCTTAATATATAAAGTTGTCCTTTTGACCCTAATCTTTTTACTGTGGTTAAAATACAGTCTCTCACTGGACTTTTAACTAGAATTGTTAGAAATTCTGCAAATATACACAACTGAAAAATTTCTAGGTCTTTTTCACCGACTTAGTACATCAGCTGAAACTAAAATCTAAGATCTGACTTAGTAACTTAGGGAAAAATGCAAACACAATCTTGAAGGTTAAAGTGCATACTTCTTTTACCTGTGGCAACTGGAGTTAATTGATCAGAAATCACAGGGCCATGGGCCTTTTGTCTTGAATATGTGACAAAAGATGTGGTCTGATTGCAAACTGAAGACACCAAAATCAGAGGCTGTTGAGTCCATCTGACTCATGGTGGTTCCAGGTGTGTGTGTCAGGGGAGAACTGTGCTCCACAAGGTCTTTCCACTGGCTGATTTTCCCGAAGTCGATTACCAGGTCATTCTACTGAGATGTCTGTGGGCAGACTTGAATGGTCAGCCTTTCAGTGACAAGCCAAGTGTATTTGCAACCATCCTCATCACCTTGTTGTTGTTGTTATGGCTCTGACTCATAGTGACTTTGCATAGGGTTTCTGAGGAGCAGCTGATGAGTCTGAACCATTGACCTTGCAGTTCAACCCAACCTTGAGGTCGTACACTTATCCTATGGCACCATGCCAGGACTCCTAAGAACGCCTGTGGTGGTGGCGGTGGTGTGCCGTGGAGTTGGTTCTGACTCAAATTGACCCTGTATAGGATTTCCAAGTCTGTCCGTCTTTATAGGAGCAGAAATCCTCATCTTTCTCCCATGGATAAGCCAGAAACACCTTTGCCCTGGCTATTAACTGGAAGCCAGGGCTCAGAGACCTAGTCAAGGCACCTTTTACAAAGGTAGCCTTGGTCACAACACAGACTTTTTCTTTTTTTTTTGTCCACAGACTCTTTCTTAATTAAAGTCAGTGCTCCCTGTAGAAGGAAGAAATAACAGAAAACAAGAGGGCAAAATAGTGCCCAATAGTCTCTACGCACCAAACTGAATTTCTCCTTTAAGGGGCCAGTGTCTGTCAGCAGTTTTGTCCTGGGGTTCATTTTCAGAATGTCTCCAGTTGTGGTGCCCAGGTAGAAAAAGCTATCGTCTTCGGACATCTGGAGTAGGGGAGTGATACATCGTTAGCGCCCATGGTCAACGATGGGATGAGCTTTCCCTGAAGCCCTACAGAGACCTACAAGGGTGCTCATGGTGAAAGACATCTGTGTCTTCAGGCTCAAAGGTGTGTTAGGGCAGTGCCCAAGTGAGCAGAACCCCGCCAAGCACAGATCTGAAAAAGGTACTAGACTGACTAACCTGTGTGCATTTCGCTAGAAGTCTGTGTTTGACATTAATATCTCTGCTTTCACCTTTCACTCCCAGCCCTCCCATAGTCATTTCCACGTAGGTGTGTAATTTTTCTGTGTCCATAGGTTTCTAAGTATGGTTCCTTGCCCTATGTCCAGGTTACCATCTCTCCATCCACAGCTACTCTACCATAAGTACCGAGGGGACATTTACCTCCCAAAGACCCCCCAACACACATATTCACATAATACACACACCCACACAAAGATTCATGCGCACACACACACGTGTACATACATGAACACACACGTATACACATTTTGGTCAGTGCTGTGTTCAAGAATGTGTGCCGTTAATTAAAAGAACACATAAAATAATTGTTATCAGGACTGATTGTGAGGGTTGGAAATGTAAAGGTAGACTTTTGTAGCAAGGAGGGGAGTGATTAACTCTGCAGTCTAGGAGCGGAGGTCCCTGGGACCATCAAGGGGGAAATGTGGCTAGCGGAACCTTATCCAGAGAAGCAGTGATGCCTGAGATGGAGGCAGAGATGATGATGTGGAGAGATGGAACTGTTGGGGACTTTAGATCGAGAGAGGGAGAGCGACTGTGTGATGACGACTGGGGTGCAGGCTTGTAGGGTATACCCTTTGGTTGGTTGATGATGCATGGAAGGGATTGTAACCATGGCAATGAAACGATATAGATAGTATGAATGTAAAACTAATGTTCTCCCGTGTAAACTATCACATAATTCACAATAAAACACAAACACAAAAAAGAACACATAAAGTCATTCTTACTGTGATGCTCATCACTATCCGTTTCATCTGTCCCGTTTGGCATTCCGTTGGCCAGATTTTTCTATTTGGGAGATCTAGTTCCCATACTCGAATTGTCCCACTAGAAAAAAAGAATTCACAATCAAACGAATCCTTATGTGGGCACCGTGTCAGCTCTGCCTTACTTTCTGTATTCTCTTTAAGGAGGACTTGATGGGAAGAGGACTAAACATCTCTGAGGATCAGTTATGGTTGCGCGTTACTACTTAACATCTTTCATTTGATGCTCACAACAATCCTATGAAGTAGATTTTACACATAGCTTATACATAGCAGAGCTCAGTGTCTGAAATGCCTGCTCTGTGTTCTATATTGAAAATGGGCAGGCAAACAAAGAAGAAAATAAACAAAGAGCAAACCAATGTTTCTTGCAAGGCTTTGAGTTTTGAGAGAATTTTTAAAAACAAGGACAGAGCTAGATTTGACGTTGGTCAGTTAGTTTCCTAGGGAGTGCAGTGGCTCCGTAGGATAAATACTGACTGTGAACCACAAAGTCAGCAGTTCAAGCCCACCAGTCACTCCACAGGAGAAAGATTTACAACCTCGGAAACTCTATACAGGATTGCTATGAATCGGAACCAACTCCACGGTTCTAACAACAAATGAGTTTCATGGTCTTATCATTCCTCTTCGTTGGAACAAATACATGCTGCGTGTCACAAGGTGCAGTGAAAACATAGTGATCTAGAACAGCGAAAATTCTTTACTCCCACTAGAATTGTTCTTGTTGCTGTGAAGTGCAGTTGAGTCAGTTCTGACCCATAGTGACCCTGTATACGGTTTCTGGGAGCAGCCAGTGAGCTTGAACTGCCGACTTTGCAGTTCAAATGACTTTGTAGTCTGGCACATTAACCCACAGCGCCACACCAGGATCCCACTAGAATAGTCACCAATAATGTGTGCCTTTCACTGATGCCAGACCTCAGGGACATTTTCATGAAGGCTGAAGAGGATGGGTCTACCAAACCTACATCTGAGCACTCATCTTCTGACTTACATAAAAAAGGATGTTGTTAGACATGTTTAATCTTCACATCAAACTCTACACAGGGCTCTGCTAAGTGAATTGCTAAATTACATTCTTTTGTTGTCCTGATGTTGGCTTCTGTTCAGGCCTCCAGTGGGGCCACCATAAGCTGGTTCCAGCTGATTTCATGCAGCTCATAGTTAACCAGCGGAATCTTCCTGGCACAGTTCATTTACGAACTATCGTTTCATCAGTGGTTAAGCACTTGTCTGTTAACCTAAAGGCTGATGGTTCAAACCTACCAGCCACTCCATGGGAGAAAGATGTGACAGTCTATTTCTGTAAAGACTTAGGAAACCTTGGGGGTCAGTTATACTTTGTCCAATAGGATTACTAGCGGGAGAAAGATGAGGCTTTCTGCTCGCGTAAAGATTGGCAGTCTCGGAAACCCTGTACAGGGTCGCAATGCGTCGGAACCGACTCCACAGCACATAACCACCACCACAGCATCACTATGACTCAGACCTAACTTGATGGCAGTGGGTAAATCCAGAGCAGGTAGTAGAAAGTCTGAGCAGATTACTCTGTGAACATGGATTTGATATGATATGTTCTCAGAAACAAACAAACAAACAGCCAGAGCCTGAAATGCATTTTACCAATAAGCAGAAATATCTCAATAGGTCGCACAGGATTTTCAATAATCACATTTAAAGCATTGCCAGTTAAAAATATTTCCAGTGACTACAAAACCATGGGAGTTATGGTATAAGGTATTTGTCCAGGATGAAAGGCGTGCTTCTCCAGATTGTAATTAACTTGTGTTTTTCTGGACAGAGTGATTTATGGCTTCTGAAAAGGCCAAGCACTGCACATACTTTCCAGCAGTGACGAACATCTCATCCTGGCACTCAGAGAAGATCACGGTGGTGGCGTTCCCCACGTTAAGGCCTGCTGCAGGGCTGCCGCAGATGGCGTCTCTCTTTGCTATGCTCCACACCACCACACTGCCAAAACAAGAGGACAGAATGAGCTTTAAGAACAACAAACAACTAACTATCTTAGTGGTTTCAGAAAGGAGAAAAATGAAAGTGTGCGTATATATTTTTAAAATGACACTGATGGCTCTTCAATAACACTGGGCATTAGAAGACAAATGGGGTAACACTTCAGTTTTGGAAGGGAAATGATTATGGGACTAGAGTCCAGGGAACCCTTCAATCAAGTTTGATGATAAGGACATTTTCAGATATGCAAGACATTAACATTTATCACCCATTTATCCCATGTACAATATTTCTTTGGGGAAATGTTACAGAAAATACATGTATATATGAGTCATGGTATGGCACTGTAGGATAAGCATTGAACTGCTAACCAAAAGGCTGGAGGTTCAAACCCACCAGTTGCTCCTTGGAAACTTTATACAGGATCGCTTTGAGTTAAAACTGACTAGATGGTACTTAAAGGAGCTCTGGTAGTGTAGTGGTTACGAATTGGGCTGCGAACCGCAAGGTCATCAGTTCAAAACTACCAGCTGTTCTGCGGGAGAAAGATGAGGCTTTCTGCTCCTGTAAAGATTTGCAGCCTCGGAAACCCTGTTCAGGGTCGCTATGGGTCAGAACTGACTCCACGGCACATAACAACAAGATGGTACTTAATAATAACAATGATATTGTTAAGTACCGTTGAGGTGGTTCCAACCCATAGCAACCCTTTTTAGGGTTTGCAAGGATAGGCTGGTGAGCTTGAACCTCCAACCTTGTGGTTCAAACCAACTTTACAGTTTGGCGCATTAGCCCACAGCACCATACCAGGTCTCTCTCTCTCTCTCTCTCTCTCTCTCTCTCTCTCTCTCTCTCTCTCTCTCTCGGTGGTTCAGACTCACAAGCTGCTTCTCAGAAACCCTATACAGAGTTGCTGTGAGTCAGAACTGACTAGATGGCATATAACAACACCATGGAAAAGAGAGAAAAAAAGGGGGGGGGGAGTCAATAAAGAGGTTAATATAAAGCGGTGTTAGAAAGCATCAATGTGCATCAGACCCGCTTGGAGGGAGTGTTACAGCAGATGACTCCAGAGCTTCTGATTGAGTAGGTCTACGCTGGACGTGAGAATCTGCTTTACTCATAAGTGATGCTGGTGCTGATGGATCTGGGGACCCCACATCAAGAAGCACTCATTTAGGATTACATGTCCTCCTTTCTGGGTGCAATCATATGGTGGTGGTAGTAGTATGCCGTGGAGTCGGTTCTGACTCATAGTGACCCTGTACAGGGTTTCTGAGGCTGTAAATCTTTACAGAAGCAGAAAGCCTCATCTTCCTCCCATGGAAAAGCTGGTAGTTTCGAACTGCTGACCTTGCGGTTCGCAGCCCGACTCATAACCATTATGCTACCAGAGCTCCCTGAAATCATATGATTTAGACCTAAAGTCCTTGTGTGGCGCTGTAGGGTCAAGCACTGGACTGCAAATTGGTTTGGACTGCAAGTTCAGTGGTTCAAACCAGCCACTTTTTGGAAACCCTATACAAGGTCGCTGTGAGTCAAAACCGACTGGACGGCACTTAACAACAACAACTCCTAATGTTACTGTCCTCTGTGTAGAAGCCAGATGGTTTGGGTTGACCCATGATTGTCCAAAACAGTGAGTGTTCAGGGATGGGTCTATTGTATTTTCCTAATACCACAAGTTTTCTTTTTCCTTCCTTCTTTAGACTTCTCAGCATTCCCTAGATTTTCTGCAAGCAAATTTTAGAAAATCAAATTTACAATTATAGAGAAGATGAATAGTTTTGCAGATTAAGTTTGGTAAAGGGCCCATTTCTCTCCCCCAAGGCCTAGCTTTGGCAGATCTCTGGCAAGGCACATGGATGAGGATGAGCTAAATGCCAAAATCTTCTGCGGTAGGACTCAGGTATCAGCAGTTTTCAAAGCTCCCCGCATGATTCTAATGTGCAGCCAAGGTTGCAAACAACTGCTCTAAGTTGAGCTGAGCATGTTACTAGAACTTTACTAGAACACTTCTGCATATGTTTCTCATCCAAAACAGTCACATAGCGACAGCTCAGGGAAGGTGTGGTTACTTAGAGGCAGAGGGAATCACTCTATTAAAGGCTTTATTAAAGGAGGAAATCTTGATATATTTCAAGAGACTTACTATATATTAAGAGAATTGTCTCTGTATTTAATAAATATGACTGTATAAATGTAAATATAAATGCACATTTCTAAGAAAACATAAAAAAGTAAACCAAAGTATTAAAACCTTGGAGTTATTTTTCTTTAAACTGATGTGGCGCTGTGGGTTAATGCACTGGACTCCAAGGTTGGTTTGAACTGCAAGGTCAGCAGTTCAAGCTCACCAGTCACCCTTGGGAACCCTATACAGAGTCGCTATGAGTTGGAACCAACTCCTTGGCACTTAACAACTACATCCTTTTAGTATTTACTTAGGAGTATTTATTGCATTGAGTAGTCTCCCTAATATAATGCTTTCTTCCATTCCCCTAATTTCAGGTGTGGAGTCCTGGTTTTGTGCTGTGGGTTACTGCGTTGGACTGCAAAGTCGGTGTGCTCTGCAAGGTCAGTGGTTCAAGCTCACCAGCTGCTCCTCAGAAACCCTATACAGTATTGCTATGGGTTGGAACCAAATCAATGACACTTAACAAAAACAATTTCATGTGTTGTTGTTAATATGTGTTCTTTGCTTGCCATATTTGACTTTAAGTTCATTGAGGGCAAAGATCATGCCTTGGTAAAGAAATTTTTAAACACCACCTCTGGACACCTGCTACCTACAGGGTTTGTATCCCAGCTCTGCTCTTTACTAGCTAGTGACTTTGGTTCCTTATCTGTCCTATGGTATCCATAGCTCCCAACTCACAGTGTTGTTGTGAGACTGAAATGAGATAATGCATTTAAAGTGTTTAGCAACATGTGTAGCTCACCAGGAGGCTCAGTTTTTTTTTTTTTGTTGTTGTTGTTTTAAAAATTAGTTGTTCTCTATGAAGGCAAGAGCTGACAACAGTGATGATGACAATGCCGACGATGTCTCTCTTTGACATCAGTGGTTCTTGAATTTGGCTGCACGTTAGAATTACCTGGGAAGTCTTTTAAGTCCTAAACCCCAGACCAGGCACCCCTGGTGGTACTGTGGGTTAGGCGTTGGGCTGCAAGGTCAGCGGTTCAATCCCGACAGGCATGCTAAAGACGAGAAAGATGAGACTGTCTGCTCCCGTAAAGATTTACGGTCTCAGAAACCCTGTATAGGGTCACTATGAGTTGGAATTCACTTGATGGCAGTGGTTGGGTTGAGTTTGGTTTGGCTTTCCAGATAGGACCCCAGACTAATTATATCAGACTCTGAAGGTGGGACCCAGGCATTAATCATTTTCTAGATGCAGTGGGTGATAAACATTGAACTACTAACTGTATGGTTAGTGGTTCAAACCCACCAGCCACTCCGCAGTAGAAAAATGAGGCTGTCTGCTTCTATAAAGATTTACAGTCTCAGAAACCCTAAAGAGCAGCTCTGCTGTGTCCTATAAGGCGCTCTGGTAGCATAGTGGTTACGAATTGGTCTGCTAACCTCAAGGTCAGCAGTTTGAAACTACCAGCAGCTCCGCAGAAGAAGGATGAGACTTTCTGTTCCCGTAAAGACTTATAGCCTAGGCAAGCCTATACAGACAGGGTCGCTATGAGTCGGAACTGATTCCATGGCACACTACCACCACCACCGTCACTCTGTCCTCTAGATGACTATGATGGCATCGGCTCCCTGGCAGTAGGTGGACTAGTTGATTTCAATGGGTGGTTAGTTTTGAGAAGCTCTATGATACGGTTTTTTTCCACAGGTTTTTTGCACAGTACACTCAAAAAGAGACAGGCCACATGAGTCAAAAGAGAATGCTAGATGGGAGAGGGTATTTGACACTTACCTGCAGAAATATACCTGGTGGAAAAATAGTACCTTTGTGTAGATCATTACCTTCCATCGTCTGGGCCTCCCAGTGATACCAAGTACAAGTCGTTTGGCGAAAAGGCCAGAGCTTCAATTTTGCCCTTGTGAAGGGACAGCCGAGCAACCAGCTCCCTTTTCTTATAATCCCACAGAATGATGTCTGCCTGGGAGGAAGAGCACACTGTCAGCAACACAGACAGGCTTTTAAAGGATCTGCGAACATAGCTACCCTCTCGGTGGAAAGGTCATCATCAGTAATAAATCATGCCTCAAGAGATTAAATCATGTTCTACACACATGATAGCAACCACACCGAGATCTTTTGTAAGCCACGACTTCTTCTCCTGTGCATCATCAGACACAAGCCACAGCAACTGGTGTGAAAACATCAGATTCCTTCATTCCTAGCCTGGCAGAATGAAGTAAGTAGAAAGAAAAGTCAAGGGTATGATGAAAGAAGAGGGAAAAACACATGGCCAAGTAGAATCAACATCCAGAAATAAGGCCGTTTCTGTCTGGAGGCACCTCTGTATGTAGTCACGATGAGTTCTTTTCCATCCATTCACCTTAAAGCCCATGAAGGTGACCTGTCCAGAGGCCAGGTAAACCCCACTCTTGGAGACAGCCACGCAGGAGACGTTGTTACCATGGCCGTGTAGGAAATTCTGTTCATTGGTGTTTATTGACTGAATGAGGACAGTGCAGCCCAAAGGGTAAATCAGATGCTCCTGGTCGGGATGACATTTCAGACCGTTGGGTACATGTCCTAAAAGACAGAGAAGATTAGAGTAATAATCAGATGCAGAAGTAGCTGATAATTGCTTACTTGAACACAACAAAGAAAGGTTTTTGCAGAAAGTCTCAGTATAAGTAAAAGAAGGTGGTGGGTAACAGGTAATTCTCTTCCATTGATAAGGAGCTTGGTATAGTGTGCTGTTGGCTGGTGCTTGCCAAGTCAGCTCTCTGGCTCGTGGTGATCTCATGCACAGTGGAATGAAATGCTGCTTCTGGATTCTGTGCCATCCCCATGGCTCCTTGGGAATTTGACTGTTGTCAAAACACCTACAGTTTTCATTGTAGAATTTTCAGAAGTAGAGCACTAGGCCATTCTTCCTCTTCCGGAAATTCTGCTGAAAGCTGTTCAACATCCTGGCAACACGAAAGCCTCCACTGACACATATGTGGTGGCTGGCCGAGCATGAGGTACATTGGCCAGGAATCGAACCCTGCTCTTCTGCGTTGTTGTTGTTCTTAGGTAGCATCGACTCATAGCAACCTTATGCACAACAGAAGGAAACACTGCCCAATATTCACATTTATTGTTCACCTTGAGCCATTGCCGTTGCCACTGTGCCAATCCGTCTCATTGGGCTTTTCCCTATTTTTTGCTCACCCTCCCACTTTACCAAGCACGATATCCTTCTCTAAGGACTGGTCCCTCCTGACAATATGTCTGAAATATAAGAGACGACGTCTCCCCATTCTGGCCTCCAGGGAGCGTTTTGGCTTTACTTCCTTTAACACAGATTTGTTTGTTCTTCTAGCAGTTCATGGTCCTTCAAGTGTTCTTTTCCAACACCATGACTCAAATGCATCAGTCCTTCTATGGTCTTCCTTATTCACTATCCAACTTTCACATGCATATGTAGCTACTGCAAATACCATGGCTTGTGACAGGCGCACCTTAGTCCTCAAACTGACATCTTTGTTCTTGAATAATTTAAAGAGGTCTTGTGCAGCACATTAACCCACAGTGCCACACCAGGACTCCCGGTTACCTGCATATTTGTGTTTAGTTATGGAGAACATTTGGGAAGAGTAGGAATTCCAGAACTCTAAATTGTGCTCATGTGGAACCTGCACAGACATTAAGAGTCAGTCATTGAACAGAACAAGAGGACACTGTGTGGTTTAAAATCAGGAAAATCATGGCAGGGTTGTATCTTTCTATCATACGTATTCAATCTGTATGCTGAGCAAATAATCCGAAATGTTGGACTATGTGAAGAAGAAAGTGGCATCAGGATTGGAAGAAGATTAATTAACAACAAATTAATTAATGAAATTAATAAAAGACAGATGCTGTTTGCAGGTCCCAGAGAATGTGATGCTGCTTCATGGACGAGATCATGATTTCAGGCCAGTTCTCGTGATTCTAAAAGGTACCAATGCCTTTGGCACCCTCAGCAACCTGTCTGAGTGAGGCACAGGCTTAGGTGTAATGTGAATCCACTACCTCAGGCAAAAGTTTGGTAAATATAAACATTTGGTTTCAGTTCTAAGTAACCATCAGGCACGTTGAAGAAACCCAGGATCTTCTACATTGTCACCCCATTCCTCAGGCAGCTCCCCATCCTTCAGATCATTGCCAAAAGCCACCTTAACATTTACAAACCTTTGTAGTGGTGGTGATGGTGTACCATGGAGTTGGTTCTGACCCATAGCGACCCTGTACAGGGTTTCCAAGGCTGTAAATCTTTATGGGAGCAGAAATCCTCATCTTTCTCCAGTGGACGGCTGGTAGTTTCAAACTGCTGACTTTGAGGTTAGCATCCTGACTCGTAACGACTATGCTAGCAGAGCTCCTTAGTAAGGTTTGATGTGAAATGGACAAAGGTCTTCCATTAGTATTCATCTTGAGTTGGCTTTTTTTAAATCTTATTCTTGCAAATTTTTTTACAACCTAAACTTTGAAGTCAGACTGCCTAGTTAAAAATCATGCCTGTATTTTTATTGGGATGATATCAAATGCATAGGTTGATTTAAAGAGAAATAGTTTTTATAAGGAAATATTAAGGCGCTTCTCCCCTAACAGAGCATGTTTTTTTCCCATTAAGTCTCCTTTTATGTCTTCCAGTAGCATTTTCCTTTTTTTTTCATAAGGATCTCACACATTTCTCATTCAGTTTGTTGTTGGGTGTTTTCAATCTCTTTTTGTTGCTATTTTCTTCCCCATCAGAAGAGTCATAAATATTTATTAATATTGTCTCTGGGTTTTAAAGTGATTTCGTTTTTCATATTTAACTCCCTCTGGAATTCATTTTGGTGCATAATGTGATTCTAGTATTGACATGGATTCCCTGCCCCCTCTCCAAATGACTGAATATAGTTCTTACATAACCTCTTCTTTTCACTTTAATATGATGGTTTACTTTATGCACTAAATTCTTCCAATACTAAACTTTGTCTTTTGGGGGCTATTTCTTTTTAAATATATACTTAAACTTTTTTCCTATTTGGAGTCTCCTTATAAACAATCATATGACTATCCATATGGAAAAAAAGTAAAATTAGGACCTTACCTCACACTATTCAAAAACAATACATTCCAGGTAAACCAAAGACTTCATTATGAAAAACAAGACTCGATGCCTGCACAGGTGTAGAAAATTGCTTTTTAACCATGATGCAAAAAGAACAAATTGTAACAGGAAAGGTCGATATATTTGCCCAACTGTATTAAAGTTTTAAAGTTTCTCAAGACAAAAGACAGAATGAACCAAAGTCAGGCGAAGGTATTTGTGACAAATAATAAAGGAGTCCTGGTGTGGTGCTGTGTGCCCAACACCTGGCTAATGTGCCCAACAACTGCAGTCTCCTTGAACCATAAGGTCAGCAGTTCAGGCTCACCAGTCTCTCCTTGGAAACCCTATACAAAGTCGCTGTGTGTCCAAACCAACTCAACGGCACTTCACAACAACAATATCTTGAATATACAAAGAACTCATATAAATTAATAAGGAAAACACAAACTGCTTAACAGAAAAATAAGCAAAGGAAATGGGCTGGCATTTTATAATACAGCAAAGTACAAAGCAAACACATATATAAAAAGATGTGCAATTTCCTAAGTAGCTAAGGAAATGCAAATTAAATCCAAATTGAGATACCATTTCACCTCCACCACAATTGTTGGTGCTGTAGTTAAGTGCCTTTGAGTCGGTTCAGACCCATAGCAACTCTGTAAAGGGTTTCCAAGGAGCGACTGGTGAGCTTGAACCACCGACCATGAGGTTCAAACCGACCCTGTAGTCCAGTGCATTAACCCACAGCGCCACACCAGGACTCCTACACCATAATAGCTAATGTTTAAAAAGGTTGGTGATACTGAGTCCTAAAGGTGATGTAGACCAAAGGGAGGGCAAGTTGGTAGAGTCGTCTTGAAAAACAACTTGTCCACTGTGAGTATGGCTGAAGATACATAGGATTGTTACGAGTCGTGTTAGGCTCCAAAACCGTTTAGACAGCACCTAACCACAACAGGTGGCTTAAAACAATAGGAATGTGTTTTGTTAAAGTTCTGCAGGCTACAAATCTGAAATCAAGGAGTTGGCAGAGCCTTGTTTGTCTGAAGGCCCTAGGGAAGAATCCTTCTTTGCCCCTTCCAATTTTTGGTGGCTGACAGCAATCTTAAGCTTATAGATCCTTCACTCTAAAGCTCTGCCTCCATTTTCATATCATTTTCTTCTGAACGTCTCTCTTCTTATCAAGACACCAGTCATTGGATTGTTGTTAAGTGCCATCAAGTTGGTTCCAACCCATAGCTACCCTGTATAGGGTTTCCGAGGAGTGGCTGGTGAGCTTGAACCGCCGACCTTGCAGTTCATAACAATCTAGTAGCCTAGCACATTAACCCACAGCACCACATCAGGACTCCTAGTCACTGGATTAGGGCATACCTGAATCCAGTTTAACCTTATTTTAACTTGGTCACATCTACAAAGACCCTGTTTCCAAATAAATTCATATTCACAGGTCTGAGAAACGTTGGTGGTACCATAGTTAAGCATTGGGTTGCAAATGGAAAGATTGGCGATTTGATCCCACCAAAATTTCAGCTCAAGTGAAGACCTACAGTCTCAGAAACCCTAAGGAGCAGTTCTGCTCTGTCCTACAAGGTCACTGGGATTTGGATTAGACTCTGTGGCAGTGGGTGTGGTTTGCTTTTTTGGGCCATCGATTTTTTTTTTTTTAAAGGACAGCATTCAACCAAGTACTGTAGTGGTTACGAACCGGGCTGCGAACCGCAAGGTCAGCAGTTCGAAACTACTAGCTGTTCCGTGGAAGAAAGATGGGGCTTTCTGCTCCCGTAAAGATTTACAGCCTTGGAAACCCTGTACAGGGTCGCTATGAGTCAGAACCGGCTCCACGGCACATAACAACAACAACAACACCATTTATATTTCTTTATTTTTCATTTCTTTGTTCATTATCTATTTCAGAGGTTGGCAAAATTTTCCTACAGAGTTACAACTTCAAGTAGTCCCTGATTTATCAAGGGGCTCCATTCATAGTAAGTTGGTTCTGATATGAGTCAAATACCTCTCTCCTTATAACCATTCATTGCCTTTCATTATTGGCATCTTTATAAATCCTATCTTTGTCTTTAGGGGTTGGAAACGTTACATATAAACTTACAGACATATTTTAAATACACACATACACAGCAAAATGCACAAATCATAAAAGTTTACTCCTATGATGAACAAGAGTATGGTGTTGGCATTTTGTCAGTTGTGATAATAACCCACCTGCAGAAGGTTCTGATCATTGGGATTGGCCCTGGGAATAAGATAGTGAGAGCTGTGCCTGTCGTCCATCTCTTTTCTTCTTCATATACAAGAAAGTTTCAAAGGGTTCATAGAAAAATTTCATTATGTTTGAATTCCATTTTTCCACCAACTTTTTGAAACCCCTCGTATTTCATGGTAACATCTCACTGTTACTGAAATCTGCCTATTAACTTCAAGAAAGCGATCGGTACCT